TCCCTCACCCCTATCCCAGGCCCCAAGAAGACTTTCCACATCAAGCAAATGTTCACCTGCACATCTGCCAATGTGGTATACTGCATCCGCTGTACCCGGTGTGGCTTCCTCTACATTGGGGAAACCAAGCGGAGGCTCGGGGACCGCTTTGCAGAACACCTACGCTCGGTTCGCAATAAACAACTGCACCTCCCAGTCGCGAACCATTTCAACTCCCCCTCCCAGTCCTCAGACGACATGTCCATCCTGGGCCTCCTGCAGTGCCACAACGATGCCACCCGAAGGTTGCAGGAACAGCAACTCATATTCCGCTTGGGAACCCTGCAGCCCAATGGTATCAATGTGGATTTCACAAGCTTCAAAATCTCCCCTCCCCCTACCGCATCCCAAAACCAGAGAAGATGGACAGGTTGGGTCAGGTCAAGGAGGCAGGGATGACAGGGAGGGTTGGTCATGGGATGAGGCCGGGGGGTGGGGAGATTTTAAAACTGGTAAAGTCCACATTGAGACCATTGGGTTGTAGGCTCCCAAGGCAGAATAGGAGGTACTGCTCCTCCAGTTTCCGGGTGGCGTCATTGTGACATTGGTGGAGGCCCAGGATGGACCTGTTGCCCAGGGAGTGGGAGGGGGAGGTGAAATGGTTTGCGACTGGAAGGTGTTGTTGTTTGTTGCGAACATAATGCAGATGCTCTACAAAGCGTTCTCCGAGCCTTTGCTTGGTCTCACCGATGTGGCGGGAGCAGCAGGTGCAATAGCCCACATTGACAATAACAAGGAGTAGAGCTGGATGAACACAGCAGGCCAGCAGGAAAGCTGACGTTTCAGGTCTGGACCCTTCTTTTCCAAAGAAGGCTCCAGACCCGAAACATCAGCATTCCTGCTCCTCTGATGCTGTTTGGCCTGCTGTGTTCATCCAGCTCTACACCTTGTTATCTCAGATTCTCCAGCATCGGCAGTTCCTACTATCTCAGACCACATTGACGGATGTGCAGGTGAACCGCTGTCTGATGTGAAAGGTTTATTTATTGCCTTGGATGGAGATGAGGAGGGTGGTGTAGGGTGTAGGACTTCCTATGGTTGCAGGGAAAGGTGCTGGGTGTGGTGGGGCTAGTGGGGAGTGTGGAGTGGACGAGGGAGTCACAGAGAGAGCGGTCCCTGTGGAAGGCAGATAGGGGTGGGAAGGGAAATATATCTTTGGTTGTGGGGTCGGCTTGCAGGTGGAGAATGATATGTTGAATCCAGAGGTTAATGGGGTGATTTGTGAGGACAAGGGGAATTCTGTCTTTGTTTTTATTACGGGGAGGGGATGCGAGGGCAGAGGTGCGGTCGAGAGCATTTTCGACCACCGAAGGAGGGAAGTTGCGGTCCTTGAAATAATTGGACATCTGGGATGTTCGGGAGTGGAATGCCCCATCTTGGGAGCAGATGTGGCAGAGGAATTGGGGTAGGGTGGCAGTACGTTCCCAAATGGGGCACCCTCACACCTTAAATGCATGCCCCCTAGTTTTAGGCATTTCAACTCTGGGAAAAAGATTCTGACCATCAACCCTATGTACTAATCTCATAAGTTTATAGACTGCTATCAAGTCTCCCCTCAACATCCACCGCTCCAGAGAAAACAAACCGAGTTTTTCTATGCTCTCCTTTTGGCTCATACCCTCTAATCCATGCAGCATCCTGGTAAACTTCTTCTGCATCCTCTTCAAAGCCTCCACACCCTTCCTGTAATGTATGTAAAGCTGCAACATGACATCCTGACTCTTGTACTCAATTTCCTGACCAATAAAGGCAAGCGCACCATACACCTTCACAACCCTTTCTACATGCGTGGCCACTTTCAGGGAGCTATGGACTTGAACACCAAGATCCCTCTGTACATCAATGCTGTTCAGGGTCCTGCCATTAACTACACAGGTCCTGGAACTATCTAATAACATTGTGCATATACTGACACCATATGGACTGCACCAATTCAAGTTGACAGTTCACCACCATCTTATTAAGTGATGCTCACTGAAAAGAGTTCTGGCTTTAATATTGTGGCATGACTAAAAGCCCAAGTGGAGAGGTTGCAATTCAGATACTTTGCAACCAACTTGCTGCATTGTTATTTACACTGTTCACCAACCACTGAAATACAACAAGTTTTTCAACCATCAATGATTAAGCCATTCTTATCAATAGCCTGAAATAGGTCAATTGTTTACTTGTTATTTTTGATATGTACCTTGTGAGCAATTTACTCATTCCCATATAACGACTTCAATAACGGTTATACAAAAGTTCAAGTAAGGCAACTCATAGGTTGTGAAACTATTTGGGAAAAGGCTGCAATACATAACAACAATATAAACATGCTGTCTACTCTCCCTCTATCGAATAGATATTCTGACTACGCTGTGTTACAAGCTGCAAATTGGCAGCTGCAATGTCAATGGCACTGGAATTGGCAGCAACTATGACCATCATTGTGCTGCTTAAATATGACAGAATCACTTGTTTTTCTGGAATTCAATACAAGTAGCAAAAGCAGATAATTTGGAAAGCATACTTTGTAGAGATATATGCACAGTATATTTTTAGTGAAACATATTTCTGGTCAAATGAAACAGGTGGTGTTCAATACAATTCTCAACTTCAAATTTTCATGAGAAGGAACAGATGCTAACTATTAGAGTCTGTCGCACCTCATCAAAATCTAAAATACAGCTGCCTGAAAGCACATGTTAGTAGTAGTTCAAAAGACAAAATGTTTGTAAGAACTTAAACCGACCTTTCTGGGATCTAATAATAAATGACTGCATGATCCCATTCACTAGGCGACAATAACCATCTATCAAGTCTGCCATGTTCTCTGCAATGTTCAGTGATGGAGTTGTTATTGTCAAGGGCTGAAAATAAGAACATAACATTATTGACATAACTTCTCCCAGCTGTCAGTTCTCATCAGGGCATTTAGCCTCATTCTAGACAAGATATCCAGGGTCAAAACCAGAATACATCATTGCAAACATCAAGTCAGATGAGACTTGTCCAACTGCAGTGTGTGCTTTGTGTATACTACTCATTGACAACTCAGGTTCAGTGGTGTAACAAATGGCAAGTATAACATGCAAACTAAATTTCAGGCTTATTTTATGATGCAAATAAATTATAAAAAGAAATTCAATAGAAAACGAAATCTCAAAGATCACTTTTGCCTATGCAAAAATATAGTAAAAATATGAATGAAGTCAATCATGTGGACCTCGAATAAATTGTCCAGCAGATTACTGGGTCAACTAGCTCTGAAAATCTGACAAGTTCTGCTGACACAGAATATGTATTGTATTTGCAGATGCTTGATGGAATATAAATTGGTCAAGCACTGAGGTGGTTTGATCCACAGATCTGAAATTATACCCCAATGAATAAGAAATAGAAATCACAAAAAAAATGTTCAAGATAGTTGTCATTCTCAAAATTGGTGTTGGAGCTTACCTCTGCTGCTCCAGATACTTTTAACTGCAAAGTTCCTTTTCTGTCTTTGTCATCACTGTTTGAATACTGAATGGTCTGTACCTGGTTAAAATTAGCCAGGTGAGTTGGCTGTAAAAGGAGAAAAATGTTCTTTTTTTAAAAAATCAGAAAAATAATAAAAGGCTTAGCTGTAGTGTGTCCTTTCACCTGAACCAAAAAAATGTCAAAGCTTTCATATCGTCCTTTTTGGGATAAATTTACCATATTTTTAAAAATCTGGAATATCAAATGTAGGCAGCTTTCAAATATGATCAGAAGACAAGCTTTTGGGAGTCAGGTGGTTACTCACTGCAGTATTCCCAGCCTCTGTCCTGCTTCCATAGCCACTGCAGAGAAGCTTGGAGTGGGACGGGAAAGATCCAGTTGTCGTGGTCTACATAAGTACCAACGATTTCGGTAGAAACAGTAAAAGGTTCTGCTCAAAGAATATGAGCAACTAGGGGCTAAATTAAAACTTAGAACCAAAAATGAAATAATCTCTAGATTATTACCTGAGCCACGGGCTGACTTGCACAGGGTCAATAGATTAAAGAGATAAAGATATGGCCCAAAGATTGGTGTGGGAGAAACTGGTTTGAATTCATGGAACATTGGCACTAGTACTGGGGAAGGAGGGAGCTGGGCCAACAGGACAAGCTCCACCTGAATCATGCTGGGTCAGTCAATGCAGGACTGAAGGTGAATAAACTTAAATGAACACAGCATGCACAACAAGGTAAATGAGCTTAGAGCACAGATTGAAACTGATGTGGCAAGAAGAGGATCAGAGCTGGGAACTAAACATCCAAGCATATCTGTCCAATTGAAAGGACAGGCACATGGGCAGGGGGCAGGTTGCCTTGTTTAGTAAATGAAATTGAATCAAAAACAAGAAATGATGTACAGTCAAAAAACAAAGGAAAAAAGACCCTAATGGGAGTTATGTGAAGGCCTCCTAGCAGTAATTAGGATGTGGGGCAGAAATTAAATCAGAAGATGGAAAAGGCAAGTAAGAAAGAATTTATTACAATAATCATGGGGGACTCCCGTATGAAGGTGGACTGGGAAATTCAGGTTGGTAGAGGATCCATAGAAAAGGAATTTTTGGAATATATGAGATGGTTTTTTTGGAGCAGTTTGTGGTACAGCCCAACAGGGAACAGGCAATTCTGTATTTTATGATGTGTAATGAGGCAGATTTAATTAGGGAGTTTCAGGTGAAACAACCCGCAAGGGACACTGGCCATAATATGATAGAATTCATCCTGGATTTGGAGAGGGAGAAGCTGGAATTAGATGTAACAGTATTACAATTGAGTGAAAGTAATCACAAAGACATCAGAAAGGAGATGGCCAGAGTTGATTGGAAGGGGAGCCTAGTAGAGAAGATGGTGGAGCAGCAATGGCAGGAGTTTCTGGGAGTAATTCAGGAGACACAGTGGAGATTAATCCCAAACACGAAGAAACATACTAAGGAGAGGACGAGGCAACTAACTAGGGAACTCAAAGACAGCATAAAAGCAAAGGAAAAAGCTTACAGTGCTGAAAACTAGTAGGAATCCAGAGGATTGGGAAGCCTTTAAAAACCAACAGAGGGTCCCTAAAAAAGAAATCTAGAGGGAGAAGATGAAATGAGGCTAACTAGCAAGTAATATAAAAGAAGATTGCAAGAATTTTTTTTAAGATACGCATGAAAGGTAAGAAAGAGGCAAGAGTGACTGCTGCAAATTGAGGCTGAAGTAGTAATAATGAGGAACAAAGAAATGACAGAGGAACTGAATGGGTATTTTGCATCAGTCTTCATGGTGCATCATACCAGAACATCAACAGAGTTGGGGGCAGAGGTGAGTCTAGTGGCTACAGTAAGGAGAATGTGCTGGGGAAGCTGAAAGATGTCTGAAGGTGGTTGCATCACCCAGACTACGTAGACTACACCCAGAGCTCTGAAGAAGATAGCTGAGGAGTTTGTAGAGACGTTGGTGATGATCTTTCAGGAATCACTGGAGTCAGGAGAGACCTAGAGGACTGGAAAATGGCCTGTTTGAGAAGGGTGGGAGGCAGAAGACAGGGAACTGACCTAACATCAGTAGCTGAGATAGTAGGAACTGCAGATGCTGGAGAATCTGAGATAACAAGGTGTAGAGCTGGATAAACACAGCAGGTCAAGCAGCATCATAGGAGCAGGAAGGCTGACGTTTTGGGCCTAGACCCTTCATCAGAAAAAAT